CTGCCCAGCGGGAGGAGCCGGGGCCAGGCGTGCGCGCTTAACCCTTTCCTCGGGGCGGGCTCCGCCCCGGGCGGCCTCGCGCCTCGGAGACCCTTGGGGCCGAGAGCGGCCCCGGGACGTCGGGGCGCAGTGGAAGCGCCGGCCGCAGCATCCCTGCGCAGGGGCTGTGCGCGCGTGGGAGACGGCAGCGCGGTGCCTCTACACCTATTTCCTTTTAGGGAGTGCGCCCGCCCTCGTCCCTCCCCGCGCCTCCGCTACAGGTCACTCCCGCCTACCGCTTGACGCGCATCCTTAAGATCTTCCTGACGCACCGTCACACATTTTAAATAGAAATGAGATCATAGGCGCACACTGTGCCTAACTTGCCTCCGTTCCCTTTGCCAGGGGCGGCACCTGCCCCGTTTGCCACGCGAAAGGTGCAGACCCGCCGTCGCCTTTCTTGAGACTGCGGCACGTGGACGGCTTTTCTTAGTGGCCTAGGTCCCGAGGTTGCCCGTGGGTGTCTACCCTGGTGCCAGCAGGGGCTGTTCTGCGCGGACACCTCCCAGCACCTGCTCTGCCAGCCTGTCTGAGCTGCCTCCCCAGGCGGGCAGACGCCTGGGTCTGCAGAGACCCGCCAGTGTCCCGGGGCCACTTTGGACGCTCCTGACAGCCTCAATGTCCACCATTAGCTTGGATACGGTAGAAGAGATTCACCCGAAGAATAGAGGTGATCTTTAACAATGCTGTAGAATTCCTAATGACTGCAGAAGTTCCCCGGTAGGTAGATGGTTGTTTACTAAAGTTACAGTCTTTTGAATTCTAAAGCTAATAGATGCTAATTACCCCAATTCAAGTAGCAGACACGTTCCAGGAGTGTGCCGGCCTACCCCTGGCCTCCCCGGCTCTGCCCCTAGTGGGCCCACAGCTAACATTTTTTTTAAAGATTTATTTATTTGTGCATACAGAACTGGGGTACAGGCCAGAGGTGCAGGGGCGGTGAGGGGATTCACCAGAGAGAGCGGGGAGCAGAACAGGCAGACAGACGGGTACACTGCTGAGGGGAGCAGCGGGCGGGTCAGGAGAGGTCTGCTGGCCATGTGGTCACCTCCGGGGCAGGCGGGGATCGAACTCGTGCGCAAGTGGCTCCAGCTTCCCAGTGCTGCGCTCTGACCCCTGGCCGCCGGGCCCTGTGTACGCCCTATGTCCCTGCGTTTCTTTGTCACAAAAATGGGCTCAGACTGCGCCTGGAGCCGCCGCTTTGTGTTGCTGTAGCAAAGGGCAGGAAGCATCAGGAAGGCAGTACCTGCTGGCTCCAGCTTCTCTCAAGGCCCACAGCTGCCTGCACTGTTGCTGGGTGTTACCAACATCCCCCACTCAGGGCTCCAGGCACTGATAGCTTTTTCTTCCGACTAGAACAATACTGCAGCAAACGTTCTTACACAGCAATACGCATGGTCTCCCGATGACTTGTACGGTGCCATTTTTTAAAAAAGATTTATTTGTGCATGCGAGAGCTGGGGTACAGGTCAGAGGTGTGTGTGTGTGTGGGGTGGATTCATCACAGAGAGGAGAGAACAGGGAGGTCACGGAAACACTGTGCCGCCTGCTGGGAGAGGTCTGCTGCCGTCCCTGCCCGGAATTGAACCCTCCTGCTGTGGCGGCTAAAGACAGCTTCAGTGTTGAGAGCCCTTGGTGCCACCAGGGAGGGCCTGGCCCCATTTATTGTTTAAAATATTTATTTATCTATACACACAAGAACTGGGGTACAGGCCAGAGGCGCAGGGGGTGAGAGGATTCACCAGAGCCAGAGGGGGAGCAGAACAGGCCGACTGACAGGCCACTGCTGAGGGGAGCAGCGGGGAGACAGGAGAGGCCTGCGGTGCCAGGACCGCGCGGGTCAGCTCCGGGTCAGCTCCCTGGCTGGTGACCGAACGCGTGCTGCAGTGGCTGCGCGTGACCCCTGCACCCCTGGGGAGGGCCCCTTGGACCCATTTTTGTGAGTATCTGTCTACCTAGCTGTCTGCCTGTGTCTTCTGTCACAGGAGGTACGTAGTGGCTGATGTGATTTTTGTCTGACTTTGCTTTTCTGTTTACCAGTATTCTCTACAGCCACATACTTCTTTTGTGGTCAGAGATAAGAAAGATAAATATCATTTTTTTAAAAAGAAAATTTTTCCTGAGTTGAGCAGAAACCTCTCTCCCCGCTCTCAAGGGAAGCGGAACTTGGACGTCAGGGTGTCTGAGGGGCGCGTGAGAGGCATTTCGTTCCCAGCAGCTGGTGAATGGCGGGGCTGCATCCAAGAAGCTTTTCTGTCTCTGGGGGAGGTGTTGGGCTCTTCCGGTTTCTTCCCACCATCTGACCAGCTCTACTGTTTTCTTTGTGGGAACCCCTACAGAGCTGTAAAACACAGCTTTTCTCTGGAATCCTCTCCCTTCAAGGCAGTCCTTTCAGCCTTCCCTTGAGTGACAGGCTGTGACATATCCCTTTCCCTTGCAGTAGGCCCCTGGCCGGCAGCGAGCAGGAGCGCAGGCCCGGGCTGGCAGCTAGCTGGGAGGGCAGGCCCCTGGCTGGGCAGCGAGCTGGCTCTGACCGACTGACCCTCTCGCAGGAGTCTGTGTCTGTGCGGCTGTTTGTCCCGTTTGAGCTGGCCTCGTGGCAAGTTGTCTGGACCCCGGGTCTGCACAGTAGGAAACTTGCATTTGTGGGGGGCATTGTCCAAGAGCGTTTCTCCTCCTGATGGCAGCCTGCTTTCCCTGGGGGGGCCCATGCTTCCCCCCATGGGCAGTGTTGGTGCAGGAGATGCACCTCAGAAGCTGAAGCCTCCAGATGGGCCCTCTTGCTGCCTTCTGGGGACTCTGCTGAACCTCCTTTGGGAGGTGCTGAGATTCTCAGCAGACTGAGCGCTGGCCTGGACCCTCTGCTCTCCCCAAGGACCAGTGGCCAAGAGTCCCCATTTGTGTCCCTGCAGACCCTCACTGACCTGACAGATCCCGGCGGCTGGCCGCAGGATTATCCTGCCCCCTTGGCAGCCAGTGCCCCAACCCTGTTGTCTCCAAGCCACCCCTTGGTTGGGGCTCTGATTCCAGACAACAGAAGAGAGACTGTGATCCCCTTGGCCAGAGGCCGAGATGAAAGCTGAGGCTGTGGAAAGAGGAGTCTGATTGAGGGTAGAGGTGGGGGGGCACCCCGTCTCCAAAAGGGGTGCCCAGCATCACCCTGAAGACACTGGGGGGCAGGAGTGGGTGGGAGGTGATCTCCCCTCCACAGGGGTGCTCAGTGGCTGTTCCCTCTGACTTTACCTGCTGGGGGCTCTGCACCCCCAGTCTGCGCTCTCACTGCACAGCTGCGAAGTGGGGGCTCCTGAGGTTAAGTAGCTTGCTCGAGCTCACTGCAAACCACAGGCCACGCCCGTGACTTAGTGTCATTTGTTCCAGTTTATTCATCTAGCTTTGTGGAGTTCTGCGTGACATTTTTATTCAATGTATTTTTTAAAGATTTATTTAGTTGTGTTACAATCCAAAATTGAATTTTTTTCCCCAGAGAAGATTGATTTCGACCAGAGTGGAAATATTTGTAATATTTGTCTTTGACAGTAGTTTTCACCTACTTTTAGAATAACCGGCCCTCCCTGGTGGTGCCGGGGTTAAAGCGCAGCACTATGCTCTGTCCACAGCCACCTCAGCGCCAGTTCCACCCCTGGCCAGGGAGTGACCCCAGGGCGCAGCAGACCACTCCTGCCTCCCCGCTGCTCCCCTCAGCAGTGTGTTTCAGTCCATCTGCCTGTTCTGCTCCCCGCTCTGTCTCTTACCCCCTGCTCCTCTGGCCTGTGCCCCAGTTCTTTAGCTGTAAATCTTTACACACACACAGGAATGACTAACCTGTTATCTGTTCTATTACGACAGTACCCCCAGTAGGATCTGGGCTGTGAGGAGGGGCTGGGAAGGCCAGACCACGGTGCCCCCGCCCAGACAGGGGCTAAGCAAGTCTATGCAAACGCGATCCCTGCCCAAGGGGCTGAACGGGAGCTCCCAGCCCTGCGTGGTAGCTGCAGAGAAGGAGCCGGAAGGCAAGGCAGGGGCCTCACGGTTGGCTGTGATGGCTGTGATGACGCCCGTGAGAAACACCCAGGGCGCTTGGCTGGCACCTTGGTTCCACTTGGGGGCTCTGCAGGCAGGAACAAGGAAACAAAGGCTGTGGAGGTGGAGGTGGGAGGCGGCTCAGCCTCACGGGCCTCCCTGAGGTGCCTCCCTGAGGTGCCTCCCGCTGGACTCTGCTTGGATTAGGCTCTCACCTGGCCCAGAGCCTTGGATCACGGGAGTCTTAACTTTTTTTTTTTTTCAATTTTATCTATTTGTGCATACAAGAACTGGGGTCCAGGCCAGAGGTGCAGGAGGTGAGCGGATTCCCCAGAGACAGAGCGGAGAGCAGAACAGGCAGATGCACGAAGTGCACTGCTGAGGGGAGCAGCGGGCAGGTCAGGAGAGGTCTGCTGCACCCATGGGTCACTCCCGGGCTGGGGATCGAACTTGTGCTGCAGCGGCTGCCCAGTCTCACAGTGATGAGATTTAACTTTTGCGCCACCAGGAGGCCCAGCACTGGTTTTTTATTGGCTTAATTTTCTCTCCACCTCTCACTCGGTCCCCTTTATTTTTTAGGGGTTAAGTCGCAGTACTGTGAAGCTACCTCCAGCCAGTGCAGCACAAGTTTGATCCGGGCCAGGGGGCAGCAGACCTCTCCGTCTCCCGACACCTCTCCTCAGCAGTCCCCTTTCTCTCTCCCTGCCGTGAGAAACCACTGGAAGACTCAGTTCCCAGCAGGTAAGCGTGCTGTCAGAAACACTCCAGTGTGTCAGTAAGCGGCTTGCAAGGGGGGGAAGAGTGGCCCAAGACAGGAGCCAGAGGCCCCGCGGCGCCCGCGCTGGGAACCGCCCAGGAGACACCGAGGCCCTGGGAGCTTGTCTGCAGAATGGACAGCAGGCGAGACGGCATGTGGGTTGTTCGCGAAATTCCTGTTCGAGATACTGAAAGAACAGTACTGGGCTTATTTTAAAATGCTGGAGGGGGAAAAAGTGGGTTTGGACATATGTGAGAATGGCCGAAAACTGGTGTTTCCTGAAGCAGGGCGATGACTAGTAGTTGACTAGTAGGTGACTAGACTCTCCTCGTGTGTTTGGACATTTTCCATCAGCAGAGACGGAGAATGGGGGAGATCTGCAGAAAGGGAGCTTCACAGGAAAGGGTGCCACAGGCTGCCGTGCGTCTCGAGAGCTGACAGTAGAGTTATCCTTGGCTCCTTGGAGGCCTGAGCCCTGCTCATCTTCCAGGGCGGCAGGTCGGAGAGCAGGAAGGAAGTGGGGTCCGAGGGGCCAGGAGAGGGTGTGGTAGGGCAGGGGTGAAGGCACTTGGGGGGCTCAGAGCCTTGCCAGCTGCCCCGAGACCCTCTGCACCCAGCGGCGACCCCCCACGAGCCCCCCGTATGCCGACGTGCGTCGCCTCCCCGACCGGAGACTCGGGCTTCAGCAGCGGGGGCTCAGCCCTCAGGCCCCTGCAGCTTAGTGAGTGAGACGCGCGGGCCTGAGACGTCCCTGCAGGTGTGGTGTCTCGGCTTCAGCACATTTGCGAAGCGGGCAACCACCCCGTTCAGCTTGGGAATTGTACTTCTGCTTTAAAGAGCTGGCTTGAGAGGCCGGGCACAGTCGAGGCTGGCAGGAGGGCTGCGGGCACATCTGCCGGGACAGAAACTTGAGGGTGCGAGCAGCCCCCCGCTTTGCTCCCGCCGGCCCAGCCCAGCAGACCTGCCTCTGGGCTCCCTGGATGTGGCCTGTCCTGGACGTTTCAGGACAAGGGACTGCGCACGTGGCCTTTAGTGAGAGCTTCTCGCCCTGAGTGTGCGCTTCCGGCTGCTGACACGGGACCCGTCGGCCCGAGTCATGGCTCATGGTGTGGCGTGGGGGCCCGGCCCCGTCGCCCGCCATCGCGGAGGGACGTTCCACTCCGGGTTACTGTGACGCTGCTGTGGACTCCCGCCCGAGTGTCTGAGCGTCTGCCATGTATTTTGGCTTCTCGGGCATGCGCCTACCCGGCAGTGGTGCTGCGGGTCCCAGGAAGTGACATTTAACCGTCTGAGGAGCTGCTAGGTTGTCCCCAGAGGGGTCACCCTGCACTGTGACCCGGATCCTGAGATTTCCCCTGAAAACCTGTGTCTGTGCCCACGTGCTTTGCTGTGGAGAGCAGGCTGAGGACTTCCGGGAGATTCTCAGGGGTTCTGTGACCCTCAGAGAAGCCCAAACCCCTAATTTTGTGCCTTTTCTGTGCCTCGTGCGAGTTCCTTGCCATCCTCAGGTCATGTCTTCTTCACGTTAGATTCTCTAGCCCTGGTCACGAGACACTCAGAACTAGTGGCAGAAAGTGGTCTGTGACCCACAAAGGCAACATTTTTACAGGCCAAGAAGAGAAAAAAACAGGATGGTTTAATTTATAAGAGTCAAGAGTCATTTGTTCTTGATTATAGTGTTCAACATGCAAATCACACTCGCCTCTTGGTACAGAAACGGCCCCCGCCACTCCCGCACAGTCAGAACAGACGGGGCGATCCCTGGGCAGCCCTTCCCAGGCGCCCGCAGACGTGCAGCCCCTCATCCTGAGTGACTGGGATGGGGCCTTCTGTTGGGCGAGTCGCCATGCAAGCTGCAGCACCTCGGACACCCCAGCACACCTGACCTATTCTGACCCCGGATGGAGACGTCGTGTTGGACTGACTCTGATGACCCCAAAGGCGCTGGAGAACCTGGCAGTGTCTGGGGGACACTGGTTCCCACTGGGCAGTGGTAGGTCAGCTAGGGGCTTGCTGAGTTTGTCCTGGCCTGGGCACTCACTCAAGTAAGTTTATCGGAGCTAGGATTGGACACGTCTGCTCTCACGTCCTTCTATAGGCCCAAACTGCACAACACGGGGAGCTCCCGCCCCTCCCCACAGCTCCTAAATTCTCAGTAATGAAACGTACTTCTGTGTAGAGAAAGATATAAAAACATCAACAAAAACTAACGGTAAACTGTAGGCTGTCCGGACCCCGAGGAAAGGGGCATGACGAGGTGGGGAGCCAGGCTCTGCACGGAGTCGCGGGGCCGGCGGCGCCGAGGGCCGACCTGCCTAAGGCTACTCGCCACCGGCTCGAGTGTCCCCCTTTCTGGAGTCACCTGAAGGAAAACTTAAAACATTTTAAAAACAGCTGTTCCTGGAAGCCGCCCGCACGCCCGCCTCACGCTTTCTCCGGTTTCAAAGAGAAAGGGGAGCCCGGCTGGACAGACATGCCTCGCCCGCCCGCGCCCTTCCTGTCCGCTCCCAGACGCCGGCCCACACGCAAGTCACAGGGCTCCTCCGAGATCCCACAGCGCATCCCGCCCGCTTCAGAAAATCGAGGCCTGGAGTTCCTTCTTGAACATGCCTTCGAAGTGGAGGTCTCTGGCCATGAGCTCCTCTTCCACATCGTCCAGGGCCCACTGGTGGTCGGTCAGCTCCAAAGCCTCCCACTCCGTCTGCAGGGGAAAGAAGGGGCAGGGTGCGGGCCGTCACTGGGGCCGGGGCGGGGGGCCTCTGCCGGCAGGCAGGTGCCACTGTCCCCCCATTTACCTTCTACCCCCAATTTATACACAGCACACAAAGGCTACGAAAGGCCACACAGCTGGCTCAGGGTCACAACTGGTTCAAGGTCACTGAGGCCAGTGCCACTGCTCAGTGGTCTGGTCATGCTGACGACGTCTGCCTTTGGCTAACGGGTTTAAAGCTGTTCTGAAATTTAACACGCACTACGCGGTCAGGACGTACCTCACACTGAATACACCTGGCTGACTGACGTGGGCACTTTTAAATCCCTCACATGCCACAGAGCTCGCCCTTCCAAGGTGCACAGCTTAGTGGTTTTATGCAAAGATGTGCAGCACTCACACCACCTAGTCCAGAACTTCCCTTACTGCCAAAAGAAACTGTGGAATCGCAGGCACGCCCCCACGCCCAGGGCGCGGCCACCGCCGTCCGGGACCGGACGCGCTGCTGCGGGCACAGGCGTGGCCGTCTCAGCGTGCTTCGCTGCCTCCTCCCTGCTGGAGCGGGACTCGGGGCTCCGCGCCGTTTCTGGCTCGTAACGTGCCGTCACACGTTCCGTCTGCCCGTGTCTGTCGGCAGGCGGGCCTCCGACAGCGAGCACACACGCCGGCGTGGAGACGCGTTTCCAGCCCTTCAGCACTGGCCCCGAGGACTCGCTGGGTCACAGGGGACGCGTCTGACCGCCTGCGGATGGCCAAGCCCAGCTCTCCGGCTGCCCCGCCCGTGTGCGTGACCCTTGCGGCGACAGGGCGGCGGCCCCCGCATTTCCGCAGCCCCGATCCCCGGACACCGTGACGGGACGCTGGGAGGTGTCTGCCTGCTCTGGGGACATGTTGGTTCAAATTCTCCTCACGGCCCACTCGGTCCTCCACTTCTTGCTGAGTTCTTAGAGTTCTTTGCTCTGAATCTCAGGCCCTTTTCGGGGAAGATGTGCAAACCTTTTCTCCCATTCTGTGGGTGTCTTTACTTTCCTGACTGTCCTCTGAAACACGAAAGTCTTCATCTTGACAGAAGTCCCGTCTGCCTGTTTTTCCTGTCGGCGGCTGTACTTTCAGGGTCGTATTTAAGGAGACACCGCCTAGTCTAAGCTCATATTTACATCCACGTATTTCTCTTAAGAATTTTAGACTCAAGCTCACATTTAGCTCTTTGGTCGGTTTAAACCTGTTATTTATAAACAGGCCTTTTCTACTGTGGCAAAAATACGTAAAACTTGCCACTCTTAGCCACTCTAAATCCACGACCCAGCAGCTCCAGCAACACCCCGCACACGGCGTGGCCACGGCTACATGAAGTGTCTAAGACGCCTCATCCCCGAAACAGCGGACTCTGAGCTGAGTGAGCAGGAAGCCCCTTCCCAGCCTTGAGTTATCTTGTCAAAAATCACTCCATTGTAGGAGCAGGAATTTGCTCCCCGGCTCCCGGGTCTACCCCACTGTTTGCATGCCCAGCCCGTCCCCGCGCCGGCGCCAGGCCCCCCGCTCAGGACTGGGGCCCCGCGCAGCCTCTCAAATCAGCGCGACCTCCGAGCCGGTTCACGGTGAGCACTTCCTGGGCTGCTCGGCGCCCTGCACGTATGGGCAGACCCCGACAACAGCTTGTTCACGTCTGCAAAAGGGCAGCTAGGCAGACCCTTGCCGGGGGTCCCAGTGGAGCGGACCTTGGAGGAGACGGCACCTCGACCCCCTCGGCTCTCTGTACACGAATGTGGAGGCCCTTCCTCGCGGCGAGGCGTCTTCAACTTCTGTCAGCAGTGTTCTGTAGTGCCCAGCATGTCTTCATTGCCTTTGTTTAAATGACTCCTAAGCGTTCTTTTTGATACTATAAATGGAATTATCTTTAATATCATTTCAGACTTCGCTGTCAATGTTCAATGGATCGTTGTATACTGGCCTCGAACCCTAACACCTGCTGTGTGCGTGTTCTCCTCAGAACCCTGAACTGACTTAAGAGATGATTCTGTCTCAGGAACAAGAGAAGTGTAAACCACCGGCCCACGCTCCCCTCAGGGAACCCACTTGTGCAGTAACTCTGGCAAGCGGAGCTGCGTGGGGGAGCGCGGTACCTTGAAGGCCTTGTTGGTGTCCGCGGGCATGGCCATGGCGGCGCCTGTCATCTGTTCCTGCATCATTCGGGACTGGTCAGCGGCTGCAGCAGAAGACACGGGCGTGAGAACCAGCGCTCGGAGGACACCCAGCGCCCTCCTCAAACAACGCTGCAGCTCTTGGTGGGGGTTAACAGCTGCACCCCAGATTCACCAGGCGCCAGCTATCCCCTCCGCCGAGGGGACACAAGGACGCAGGAGGAGGTAACGAGAGGAAGCACTGAACCGCCCTTCAGGTTGAACAGCAAGAGTACCTACCCCCAGCCACCGCACAGCTGCTCTCTGCAGGTATGCTGCTGGCAGACTTCACATATTCGGCCTCACCCACTCCTCACCACCACCCATGGCCTCACCCGGGAGGTCCAGACAAGTGAATAGCACACGGGGGTAGTCCAGTGACTGGCCCCAGGCCCCAGGCATGAGGAAGTAGCCAGGGGCTGGTGCCAGGTCCCTCAGCGCGGGCACTAACTCGGGGCACTGAACATGGCCGTGTGACTGCCTAGGGGAATTCAGTCTTCTGCCAACACCGGAATGTTTAAGACGCTGGAACCCCCGAGAAACTTACCAACGAGTTTAGGGAACGAAGCACTGCACAGTGCTACAAACTATGACATACTTGCTTTCCGGTGCCCCAAGGGTCTGCGTCGGTCCAAGTATTTGCTATGGGACCTGCTGTGCTTCTTACCATTGTCTTGGCCCAGAATCAGAGAGTAAATGCTCCGAAGTCCAAAGACATTGAGGAAGTACCAGGATGCGGAACTCACCCTGCAAAGCCAACGTGAAACCGAACAGGCTGTTACCGTGGAAGCCCCCGGGGCCCCGTTGTCCCCAAGGTTGTTCGGCCTGCAGAGAGAACTCAGCTGGCGTGGGAGCCGCCGGCCCGGGCAGATCGGGCAGAAAGCAGGGTGGAGGTGGCCACGGGCTCTGCAGCGAGGCCGCGGGCCCTCGGCCTTCCGCGGCAGGGCCTGGACTCCCGGCCCTTCCTCCACCAGTCCATCATGGCCTTCCCATGAAAACTTACTATTTGTAATTATGACAACACACACTTGTTATTTATAACAAATGCAAAGAACACAAGAACACTAAACTGAAAACAGAGAGGCGCCTGTGGAAAGCACACGTGGTGGCGACCTGCAGGAATACTGCAATGCTGAGGCGGCAGCTACCGGGAAAGCCACCCCGAGTCCTGGACTTCTCCACGCACCTGTCCCTTAGCTTAGGTTCCCGCGGGGCCGCCGTTCCTAAGCAGGCATGCAGTGAGAGCTAACAAGAGCGCGAGGAACGGCGTGCGGAGGGAAGGAACCTGCACCTCCCTCCAACCCCTGGGGCCCTGGACGGCTGCAGTCCCTCTGCCACCCACAGGCTGCGGCAAGTAAACACCCACTCCCCAGGGAGCATCTGCTCGGCAGCCCACCGCAGACCCAGGCTCCAGCTCCCTCCAGGCAGGCATGTCAGGCGCATCCCTGTCTGGGCGCGAGAGGAGGGCAACAAGCTTTCCTGCAGCCCAAGAAGCTTCTGGCTCACCCAGATGGGCCTGCAGGGCCCAGGCCTGCAAGTCAAGCCACTCCTGGCGCACGGCCTCTCCCTGCCAAGCTGGCACGGCCACACCCTCCCTGCACGGGCCTGCCCTGCTCTCCACGCAGCCAGAGGCACTACGAGGGAGTCAAGGTTGCCACAAGTGCCGTCACTGCCCAGGCTGCTCTGGCCTCGCTACCTGCCGTGCCAGCCTCTGGGAAGCCACAGACGGAACCGTCTGGAGCGACCACGAGAAGCAGCACCGCAGAGTTCCAGCTGCTGCGGCAGGGTTCCAAGGCCTTCCAGGGTGGGGCCTTACTCCTCTGCTAGAATAAACAGCGACACGCAAGGCACGAGTGCTGGGCGTGGTCAGCTCTGCAGCCAACCGCAGCCCTCCACTTGCCCCACTGGTTAGCATGAGGACAAAAAAAGTACGCGGAAGTGCCCAGCGCAGTGGCTGCTGCCAGTGAAGTGGTAACACCATTAACAGCAGCAACGTAGTTTGGAAAGCGTAACACTCCCCTCAACTCCAGGATATCGTTAAGTCTTTCTGGCCAGAGATCCGGGCTCCTTCTGTTAGCTTCGAGGAGTGGACACATCCACCTTGCCCCCCGCAGCCCCAGAGAAGAGAGGCCCGCAGGCTCGTCCTTCGTGAGACTCGCCCAGATGTGCCATCACCCCCCCATGGCACTCTGCTGGAATTCGGTGGGAGAAAACTCTAGAAGCTGGTTCCAGCGAGGCGTGGGAACCACAAATCTTCCCTAAGAGTCACCAGTGTTAGCACTGGTTTCTGTTTTGTTTACACGCAAGCTCTTACCAGGACGCATCTAACGTGAGCAGTTCGATCCCTTGCTGCAGCATAGGCTTGAAGCGGAGGGTCAGGGGAAACGGGACCTTGGCTGCAGGGGAGAGAAAGACTCGGGTCACTCCAGGTCTGTCGCCCGAGAACACACGTGCGACTGCATGTGCTCAGTCGGGAGAAGCCGGGGCGTCTGAGCCACAGAGTTGGGCGACGGTGTCCGCAGGGGAACCTCTTCCATTTCTGAGGAAACCACAGGCAGATGTCTGCCTGCCGTGGCTTGCTGAACATCAGCTTCCTTACTGCTCACGAAGCGGGGGCTGTGACCTAAAATCTGACAGGGACCTGCGCTAACGCCTTGAGCCCCAAGTGGAATGTGTGCCCACAGAGTCACACGACTGAAAAACCTATCTGGCTTGAATAAACTCAGAACAACTGATTAACAGACAGAGTGAAGTCGAAATGGCACAGGCCTCCTCCATCTAGCCAAACCCAACACCAAATGGGTTCTGGAATCAAACCAGCAAGTCGGCCTTTTGGGGCCCGACGCGTCTAAAGCGCCCCCTCGGGAAGGCAGGCCGGCGGGGGCGTAAGCCACACCGCATGGAGCTTTTGCTCCAAGACGTTTCCAGTTTCCACCCGAGGACACAGGGCCCAGGTGTCAGCGTCCCCACAGCACGTGGCTTCCTCGGAGGGACACGGGGGGAGCGCCATCCGGCAAGCGCAGGGCCCACTGGTCGGCGACTTACTGGTGACAAAGCCCGAAAACGTCATGTTGATCCACCCGCCGATCAGGATCATCGGGAGCACGTTGGTCACGTTGCCTTTCATCATGTCTGTCAGCATCGTGGGGTCTGAGGTAAAAGCACACGGGGCCGTCACGGCGCTGTCGGCCGCGACTTCCTGCCTGCCTAACCGTCCACATTTACTTGATAATTCAAGTGACGTAAGTTCACTGTAAAAACTTCACATGACATAGGGACGCTGGATGTACACAGGTCTTGGGCCCACTCTGAACACGGGCAACAGGCTAATGTTCAGCTTTTCCTCTTTCTAGAGTACACAGTTTCTGTCTGAGTAACACATCTGATAAAGGGAAATTACACTGACTGCACTGATTAATTTTTTTTTTAAGATTTATCTATTTATGCACACAAGAACTGGGACATAGGGCAGAGGTGCGGTGGTGTGAGAGGGTTCACCAGAGACAGAGTGGGGAGCAGGACATGCGATCTACTGAAATACACTGCTGAGGGGCGCAGAGCAGTGACAGGAGCGGTCTGCTGCGCCCTGCGGGTCCCTCCCTGGCCGGGGATCGAACTCGGGCTGCAGTGGCTGCGGACAGCTTCATGGTGCTGAGACTTAACCCCTTGTGCCACCAGGGAGGCTCCCACACTGCTTAACTTTTTAAGCTACTATCTTGGGAACGGTACCGCCAGCTGGTATCGTTCTTCATTTCAGTGTCTGCCAGCAGCCCACTGCGTGGGGGCGCCATCACGTGGGGTGGATCTGCACAGCACTTCCCGTCTCCCCGCCAGTACACAGTGCTGCGCGGCACACCGCCCCTCAACGCTGTGAGCAGCTACTTCCCCCCGCCCAACGGCAGCAGCTCCGGTCCGGCTTTTCTGTCTTTGCGATTTAACAGGATGGGAAGGACTCTTGCTTTAATTTGCTGCACAGGTATTAGTGAGGTCAAGTGTCTCTTCTCTTTATTGGTCTTCTGGTTCTTGTTAAGTTTTTTTTTTTAATTTTTAAAGAAGATTTAATTTATTTATTTATGCATTCAAGAGCTGGGATGTGGACCAGAGGTGTGTGCATGTGTGGGGTGTGGACGGTGGGAGGCTTCACCCGAGACAGAGTGGGCAGCAGGACAGGTGGGTCGATGAAGTGGCTGGGCCACTGCTGCGGGAGCAGTGGGGAGACAGGCGAGGTCTGCTGCACCCTGTGGGTCACCTCGGGTGGGGACTGAACTCACACTGAAGTGGGCACGGCCAGCTTCACCGTGCTGCGCTTTAAGCCGTTGCGCCACCAGGGAGGGCCCTGCTGCCGCTTCCTTTTCACCTACTTTGAACACTGAGTTTCCTGTATCGTCTGGAAAAGAGAAGTCCACTTCCTCCCACAGATCCCGGTGCTGGGTGATCTCTGTTCTCCTCGCAATACTATATGCAGTCAGTTAACTTTTAAACAACCACCCTGCCCGCCGACGATAACTCGTGCCAATCTCCTTAAGGGCAGCCGGGCCTCCACGTACCGGTCATGGGCGACGGAGGAACGACCTTCCTTTTCGTTTTTTTGAAAAAGCCATCCTCTGGGTTGTTGAAGTAGTATTTTCGTGTCAAGAAGGACTAGTAGAAAAAAGAGCCTTGTAAGTCTCAAAACAGTGACACGGCAAGCTTCGAGCTTCCCCCAAAGCTTAGTCAGAAGGCCGCTGAGTATGCTGCTACGCTTCGAGCTGGCAACCTACTTGGCGGCCGCCCGGACACTTTAGCCGAGTCACATTTAAAAACGATTTCCTAAGAGGGGTGAGGTCAGACACCGCGGCCGCAGCCGACTTGCCAGCCCTCAGCTCTCCCCAAAAGGCCCCTTCGCAAACATTCGGACATCGCCTGCCTTCAACAGCAAATCATGGAGCTTTTCATAAAAGATAAATGAGTACCTGTTTGGGAATGTATTTTCCATTTTCCCTGAGGACTCTGCTTCGAATTAGGACTTGACTGAAAAATACAAACAAGACAATGAGATTTTAAAAAAGCGAAACACTAGAAGAAAATGAGAGGAAAAAGGAGAAGACCTATTTAAACACAAGAGGGCCTATCTGCGGGAAACTTCTCAAGACACAAACACCCTGAAGGCCAACAGCGTGTATTTAATGGAGCGACTGTCTCTCAAAAGTGACTGTTTCTGAACAAAGATTTCCGAGAACAAGGCACTTTTCAGACACTGCTTTTTGTTATGTATAATGAGCGAAGGAGGAACCTCCTCTGAGTGAAAAGAGATGTGGGGGACACCAGTGGAGGCGAGGGTGGGAAGGAACTCTGCAGACCCAGAGGTCAGCTCCAGGGCCCGAGACGCAGAGACGCTTCACCCGGGACCCGGGTGCTAGCGAGCTGCCAGTAAACTTTTACTGAGCTGCCACAGGATGGTATTTGGTGACATCTGAACCTGAGGATCATCAAAGATCGCAGCGCGCAAGTGGTGCCGAGACACAAATGCCAAACAGAGCAGGGATCAAAGTGCTCATTTAATCCAGGTTTTCAAGTGTTTTGTTTTTTTTTTTTCTAAAGATCTATTTATTTGTGCATACAGAACTGGGGTACAGGCCAGAGGTGCAGGGCAGTGAGAGGCTTCACCAGAGACAGAGTGGGGAGCAGAACAGGCTGACTGATGAAGTCCACTGCTGAGGGGAGCAGCGGGTGGGTGGAGAGGTCTGCCGCGCCTTGTGGGTCACCTCTGGGGCGGGGGATGGAACTTGCACGGAAGCAGCTGTGGCCAGCTTGCAGTGCTACTCTTCAGACGGCTGCGCCACCAGGGAGGGCCCTCAAGTGTTTTAATGAAGAAAAAATGTCTTCCTTGAATTAACAGGAATGCTGGACCACATAAACTGGGCCTGGTGTCCTCACGCTACTCTTCAATGCAAAGCACCTGCGGTTCCCAAACCACATGCAGATTTCAGTTTGTACAGAAGCTGGGTACACGCACACCCCCCTGGACCAACACTTTCCGAGCCCCACTTTCTCCACGGAGCTCTTCCCAATGTCCAGGTGAATTCTCTCTGGTCTTCGTCCTCCTGACCGTCGCCTTGGTAACTGTACCAGTGTCTGCACCATGCAGGGGCGCACAGAGTGACACGGTGTGCTGTTTCCTGGGAGCAAATCTCAAGCCACTCCAAGCACGGCGGGAACGCCGAGAATCAGGGCCTAGAGGCTTTTATGGTGACACTGTCACAACACCCAGTTATGTGATCAAAACGTTTTACAAAAGTGGGAGCCTGAGATAGAGTCGAAAATAAAAACAAAAACTTTGGTTCTTCACCACCAGCAGTTTCAGCAGCACTAAGTGCTGCTGAAAAATTTAAGCTCTGAGGGCCCTCCCTGGTGGCGCAGCGGGTTAAAGCACAGCACCGAGAAGCTAAAGCCACTGTAGCACGAGTTCGATCCCCGCCTCGGAGGTGACCCACGTGGCGCGGCAGACCTCTCCTGACCCGCCGCCCGCTGCTGCTCCCCTCAGCAGTGGACTTCATCAGTCAGCCTGTTCTGCCCCCCACTCTGTCTCTGGTGAATCCTCTCACTGCCCCTGCATCTCTGGCCCGTACCCCAGTTCTGTATGCACAAATAAATCTTTTTAAAAAACGTAAGCTCAAAAAAAAAAAAAAACGTAAGCTCTGGAATTGGAGAGATGGTTTTAAATACTGACACTGCCATTTGCGAGCCATGTTGGGCAAAGGGTTTGAATACCCTTCGCCTTCACTCATATTCTGAACAGTAGCAAACTGATTCTTATTGAACAATTACGTCTTGTGCTTGTGTGTGCCACGTACTAAGTAAGGCGATAACAACGGTGATCACAAAGCTAGTATCTCGAAGAGAGACACAGGCACCACAGGACTAAACATGGAACTCCACTCTCCACCCTGGGAAGGCGAGCTGGAAGGTGTCAGGGGGGCGGATGGCGGGGGCTTGACTGAGTCTAGAAGTCAGGGCTCAAAGCTTGCTGAGGATGGATGAAGCAGCGGGCATCTTGAGGGTGAGTGGAGGCTGCAGTGGCGAGAGGCTGGAGAGAACAGCGCAGGCCGACAGTCCTGTGGCAGCACTGAGCATGGGTCTCTATGGACCCAGAAAAAGCCACAGAAGCGGGAAGAAAAGGAACCATGGAAAGCTTGGTAAAAATGAGGCCTGGAAGTTGGGCATGAGCCAGGCTGTGCCAGGCTGCCTAGGAGGCCCCTCTGTATTTTTAAAGTTTTTTTTTAAAGATTTATTTTATTTATTCATATAGAACTGGGGTACAGGCCAGAGGCTCAGGGGCAGCGAGAGGCTTCACCAGAGACAAAGTGGGGAGCAGAACAGGCAGACTGACAGAGAAGCAGCAGGGAGACAGGAGAGGTCTGCTGCGCCCTGGGGGTCACCTCCGGGGTGGGATCGAACTCGTGCCGCAGGGGCTTTAGCTTCCTAGTGCTGCACTTCAACCCACTGCGGCGGGGAGGCCTCACCCCACCTCACCCCTCTGTATATTTGTCATTTCAGTAAAGACACGCCCCCGCTTTACTGGATTTAAGCGCGCCACTTCAGCAGTGGCAAATGCATTTCCACTGTTGGGAGACAGCTCCGGAGCTTTTCTTTTTTACCCAGCGAAGCTGAAACTCTACCTGCTGCACAATGCCTCCCCACCCCCCAGCCCATGCTGAGCACCGTTCTACTTCTGGTGTGTATGAGCTGGGCTCACAGAGACGGAACCCAGCTATTTCGTGTCTCCTTCACTTCACCTCGCATCCTGTCCTTAAGATTCATCTATGTTGTAGCTCGCAATAGTTCCTTCCCTTTTTTTTTTAAAAAAAGATTTATTTATTCATACAGAACTGGGGTACAGGGCAGAGATGTGGAGGGTGAGAGGATTCACCAGGGACAGAGTGGGGAGCAGAACAGGCAGATCGACGAAGTCCATTGCTGAGGGGAGCAGCGGGCGGGTCAGGAGAGGTCTGCCGCGCCATGTGGGTCGCCTCCGGGGCAGGCGGGGATCGAACTCATGCGGAAGCGGCTTAAGCTTCTTAGTGCTGTGCTTTAACCCGCTGCGCCACCAGGGAGGGCCAGTTCCTTCCCTTTTTAAGGGTCCCAGTGTACTGTAATCTTTAGCTTATGAGTAAAGGGGGGAGGCCTCCCTGGCAGCGAGGGTGAAGCCTCAGCACTATGAAGCTATCAGCAGCCACTGCAGCAGAGTTCAATCCCCGCAGGGAGGGACCCACATGCTGTCAGACCTCTCCTGTGTCACCTGCTGCTCCCCTCAGCAGCGGATTTCAGTAGCTGGGAGGTTCCTCCAAGTTAACAAGGGGACTGGCATAGGACCTGGCAACCTCACTTCTGGACATTTATCTGCAGGGAATGAAATCAGAATTCTGGACATGCTGCATCCCCGCGCTCACTGCAGCGTTCAAGCAGCCAGGACAGGGCGGCGGCAAGGGTGAAGGGGGCAGCGGTGTCAGGCACGCACACGGGTGTCACTCAGCCACGGGAACAAAGGCCACCCCACCACTGCACTAACGGGGAGCACAGAGGACAGTCAGCGACATCACACGTCAGAAAGACAAACTGACTCCACGTCAACATGGACTCTGAAGACAAGCCTGACCAGACACTGAAGGACAGTGGCTACAAGGCGTGGACAGGGGTGCTACTGATGGGTTAGTCTGCTGGGATGATGAAAGTATCCTGCAAGTAGCTGTCTGATAGGAATGTATTTAATGCCACAAACCATACACTTAAAAAGAGCTCAGATGGTATATTTTATGTATTTTTAATATATTTTTTTAAGCTACACTTTTAAAAAAAGGGCAAAAGGGATGTCCTCAATGATGTCAACCAATCTTCGGATACTGCTTCATTCTAGGTGTTTACCACTGTTACTGATAAGTCCCAAGCACCAGATTGATGGTTTTTGTTTTTTTTCTGCACTTCTCACTGGCCCGAACGTGCCTGAGAACAGGACCTTGACGGTGCCTCACTCTGCGCCTGGCAGTACACAGCACAGGCGTGGAACGTGCAGGGAGAGCATGCGTGTACTGTGGGTAAGTAAGACTTCCGCAGGCGTCCAGGTAGGTCTGTGGCCGCACGGCTGAGCACTTTTGTGGAACTGGTGTTGAGAATCATGACCTTGAGGCATCTTAAGGCCCTGAATAAGACAAGCTTCAAGGTACCCTGTGCATTCTGAACTTGTGGTTTAGGGCGCTGAGAACCGTACACGGACTAAGGCTCACAAACCCTACAGGTAGTTTTTAATTGCACTTTCATTTCCACTAACAGCTTTTAAAAAAACCTTTGTATTACTTATAAAGGTAAAACTCTTTTGCACTGGTAATTTGCAATTGGAAACAATTAAGAAAAAACGTGCCTTTTTAAAGGATTTCTCAAACTAGAGTCGCAGTCTGCTTGCTTTTGTGCACCTTCATTCTTCAAACTTGGGAACATCTTTTATATACATCTGCCCACAAATATGGTCTGTATATTAATGTAGCTTTCATTTTAAAAATCCGTAGGAAATTCTGAGGTTGTAAAAGCTTAATACTTGACGTCCTCATATGTCTCACCATCATCCAGGTTGACAGAGGCTCACACTGTATCAGGGGAATCATCTTTTGCAGTCGCGCCTCGCTGGCTGGGCCACCACTGAGGCGGGCTGGTTATGACCAGAGCTGGGTTCTGGAGACCAGCGGTCTCTGCAGGGCACCGCCCTCAAGCGTGTAGGGGGAAAAGAAGCGCCTCGGTGCCATCTGCTAGGGCTAACAAGGGACGCTGACGGTCCCTCAACAGCGGCAGCTATGCAACACACACACGCCTCAACTCCTTATGGTACCTCATGAACTTACTAGTTACCTGACTTCAAAACCAATTAAGTCCATTTTGGGGAGAGGGAGGTGATTCCCACAGCTGCACTGACAGATACTCAACCACAACGGAAGTAGTCTATCCCACTTTACAATCGTCACTACTTTATGAGTCCCGTTCACGTACATCACTTCACGCTTTAATATTTACATTATAGCTGCTGTCAACTAGATGATGTGGGTGGGGCATCTGAGGAAGTGTTAGCATGTGAGTCGATCACAGCCTGCTTGTGGGTTTGGTGAATCTTTGTCACAGTATTGAAATGCTTGCTTCTGTCTGTACATCCTTTACCATGGGTGGTTGTTGAATCACCTAAAAATACTGTGCTAAACTGTAACCATGGATCCCAAAGAGTGTATTAAAAATTTCAATTAAATCTGAAATGAGTGCCCTGCCTGGTGACATGAGAAATGATAAAAAAGCAGGATGGTATTCTAATTTAGTGACTGGTGTGAGAATTTGTTTTTTCCCACCAACCACATCAGCAAACTAAGTAACAGTGACACTACTTTTTCCAAGTTAAGTTACTTCACATAGTTCCAATTTCAGTCCTTAAACATCAATAGGAAATAAATTCTCAGTATCTGTTGTTTTAGTACATAAATCACAGCATTATGTAAGCTTAGCTATGTGCTGAAAATTGTCTTACAACAAATAATGCAGAAGCCATGTGTTGCTGAGGTCCCGCTGCAATATTTCCACTATATAACTGCAGCACCTGCGGACCAGATTATTATCGCAAAATGGGTGGGTGGGGGCCTAGTAATAGAGAAAATGCATTGTTTTGAACTTCATTAGGAGCAGTCCACCAGTTGGGAAAATCACACCCAAGACAACACTGCCCTCTGGGATGTCTGAGTAGCTGGCGCAGACTGAACCTGTCCTGGCGAGGGTGTGCTCACAGCTGGGCGCAGCCACCTGACTTCTGTGGTATACTTTCTAGGACAGATGTAGAAAGCACTTATGAAATGTGAAGTGTTTTTATTTCATCTGATTGTTGTCTAAAACTTTTTTTTTTTAAACATTCTCATATGTAACTATGCCCACTGTAAATTTCATTTTGGGTTAGAAAAAGGAATTTTGGACCCGCTATTCAGAACTGTTGCTTTAAAAATCACAATGAACCAGGGGTAGAAAGCTGGGGTAAAGGACCTAAAATAGCTGGAATTGTGCTTGAGAGAATTTAACTTTAGAGTCAGACTCTTAAAAACAATTATTTTTATTTATTTATGCATACAAGAACTGGGGTGTCGGCCAGAGATGCATGTGTGTGTGTGTGTGTGTGTGTGTGTGTGAGAGAGAGAGAGAGAGAGAGAGAGAGAGAGAGAGAGAGAGAGGGTTCAGTAGATCTACTGAAATACACTGCCGAGGGGAGCAGCGGGAGACAGGCGAGGTCTGCTGTGTCATGTGGGTCACTCCCTGGCTGGGGATTGAACTTATTTTGCAGTGGCTGGTGACGGCTTGTTAGTGCTGAGACTTAACCCCCTGTGCCACCAGGGAGGCCCTAGAGTCAGACTGTAAGTTAAAAATTCAACTATTAGAAAGTTTCACACCTGAAGTTGTCCTACGTGCTAACATTTGTAGCTGGACGGCTTCCACAGTACCAGATGCTCTGCTGTATCCAACCACATACATTTCTATGTGCTGCAGACAACGGATACTCTGCACAGGCCCTGGGGGAGGTAAGCACGTGTCCAGTGGATGGATATGCCTGCAGTCCTGACACAGAAAATGATCTGGGCTCAATTACTCACACAACATTTCACTGTTTTGGTTGTGATGGGAAAGCTATTTAACTTCTCTGGGCTTCCTTTTCTTCAAGCGTAACAATGGGTTTAGGATGATCTATTTCAGCATAATTGTGTGGATAAAATGAGATCAATAGGCTGGCAGCAATCAATCAGTGCTCAGAGCTCAGAGCTCTCCCTGCTTCTTTCTATTACCTTCTCTTTGTGGTAAACTCACTTAAAGATTATCCTCCGAGATTAGTTCTGGAACTGAAGCACCAGAAAAGTGAGTGAGTGACTCTGTGGTACAGTGGAGCTCCAGATTTGGGAACTAGACGTCTTGCCTGAACGACACTAGGCGTAGCCATGGAAACCTCTTAAGTTTCAGTTTTTATGAGACAAGAACACCTATTTCAGAATTACACTGAAACTTAAATAAGTTAGTGACTATAAGCCCTTAGCATAGTATCTGGCATAGAC